GCAGGAACCCAAGCACTTGGGCCATCATCCGCCGCCTCCCAGGCGCATTGGTGGGGAGCTTGGATGGGAAGTGGAGCAATCAGGACTCCCGCACAGATGTGGGGTGTCTAGGCCTGCCGCTCCACAGTGCTCACTGCTGGTAGCTGTGTGCAGCTCGGTACAGCAGACATCACCAGTATGTGGGGATTCACAGTCATGTAGGTGTCGCCTTCTAGGAACTGCCCATCTGCCTCGCACCCTTGGCTCCTGCTGACAGGTGTCTGGGCTGAAGCCGGCTGGGTGACGGAGAACCGGCCAGTGTGAGTGCTCCTGTTACGTACCTGTAAGAGGGCGGACATCTCCGAGTGGAAGACGTGAGCCGCGCAGAATACACTGCAGGCTGCCGCTGCCTGTGCGGGAGCCCGGGCCGGGTGCTGCCTTTACCTGCTGAGCCTCGGTTTTGCTGAATGACAGCACGATTTGTTCATCCAGATGTACGGGTTCTGCCGTCCCAGATTCAATCAACTGCAGAGCGGAAAAGGAGTTCTAGAAAGTTCCATAAAGCCAAACTGGACGTGGGCAGCTTCTGAGCCCTGTGCTGAAATGCACACAAATGCAGGGATGTGTCGGCCTGGGGTTGGGTTTTCTGAGGCATGCGGAGCTGATGTCAAAGGTCTTACAGGAGGGTGTGGGTAGCTTTGAGGCCATTCCGCGCCATCTTCCAGAAGGGATGTGAGTATCTGCGGATGTTAGTGTCTGCAGGGGTGTGGGCACCCATCCCCCGTAGGTACCGAGGGACCACGTCGACACGGTCACTCGGTGCTCACTGATTACGCACCTGTGCTAGGGACTGGGCACCCCAGCGGGAGAGACGGAGCTGTCTGCCAGAGGAGCAGGTGGCCCCCTGACCCACACAGACCTGGGAGTGGACAGTGGCAGTGCTGGGGTGGGTCTCGGCGTCCTGGGAGAGGGCCTACTGTGCGGCTTGCTCACTGGGACGGGAGGATTCTCTGCTGCCTGCGGAGGTGGGTTGGGGCAGACCTGGTATCGGCGATCGTTTCGTGCCAGAATAGCTAGGAGCCCGCAACAGAAGGCAGCGAGATCCCCTGGAGAGAGCCTGAGCTCCCCCGGCTTTGTCCCCGCCTTCAGCCTCCTCCTCTGGCCATCCCACCTCCATGTCTCACCCCGAAATCTGCCCTAATGCCGCTACCCTCACAGTCAGATTGGATTTTCCTGGTTGCCTGTGACAGCAACAAGTCTTATTTCCCACCTTAGCGCAAAAGAGGTCTTCCTTCTGAGTATAAAACCCATGCAGGGCTTTCTGCTAACAACAGCTTGACATGGCTGCCGGCTTCTCATGGGAAGAATGAAATATCAATAGCGGGAGAGACCTGTGGAGGACCTGGGAGAGACTGGTGAAGAGGTGGCGGCTGGTTCAGAGGAGCAAGCGGGCTCCATCTGCTCTCCCTTTAGGGGAAGAGGCCTGATGGAGATTTTGCAAGAAGCAGCTTTGGGGGCCTGCATTTGGCGTACCAGGTATTAGCTGCCACCTGTGACGCCAGCATCCCATGTGGGCTCCAGTTCATACCTGGCTGCCCCACTTCCTATTCTGCTCCCGGCTGATGCACCTAGGAAAGCAGTGGAAGATGGCCCAAGCGCTTGGGGCCCTGCACCCATGTGGGAGACCCAGAAGAAGCTCCTGGCTTCAGACCGGCCCAGCTTTTGCTGTTGCAGCCATTTGGGGTGTAAACCAGCAGATGAAAGACCTCTCTCTCTATCTCCCCTTCTGTCTGTAACTCTGACTTTCAAATAAATAAATTTCTCAACTTCCACATAGGTGCAGGGACCCAAGCACTTGGACCATCTTCTGCTGCCTTCCCAGGCACATTAGCAGGGAGCTGGATCAGAAGTGGAGCAGCCAGGACTTTAATCAGTGCCCACATGGGATGTTGGTGCTACAGATGGCTGCTTTACCAACTACACCACAGCGCTGGCTCCAAATAAATCTTTAAAAAAAGAAAAGAGCAAGGCAAGGCATGAAGCATGGAGTGGGCTCTGTGCTGCAGTGGACTGGGGAGACTGCATCCCTTATTAGAGTGCCTGGTTCTAGCTCCAGCTCCCTCCTGCTAATGCGCACCCTTGGAGGCAGCTAGTGGGGCTCCCATCACAGTGACAGAGGGACGAGGGCTTGATGTGCTTCGAGACCCCACCCACCCTGCTACTGGCTGCTCCTGGCTGCTGCGTCCCCCCTGGCACAACACACAGCCACAACAGGTGCCTCAGGGCCTCCTCCTGCTGTTGACCTGGGCCCCTGCCACCCATGTCGGAGATCCGGATGGAGTTCCTGGCTCGTGGCTTCAGCCTGGCCTGGCCCTGACTGTTGGGGCCATTTATGGAGTGAATGAGTGGATGAAAGAGATCTCTCTCTCTCTGTCACTCTGCCTTTTAAATAAATAAATAAAGATTACAGAAAAAAAAAGAAGAAGAAGAAGATGGTATGAAGCTGATGTAGTCTTCCCAGCCAGGGTTCCACTGGGGGCAGGGTTGGAGAGAGAGAAAACATCTCGGTGTGACACCGAGCGGGCAGCAGGAGCGGGAGACCGAGACGGTGACCAGAAGAGTAGTGGCAGGTCACCTCTGGCAGGTCTGCCTCTCCGGGGCCTGCCCACGCCAAGGTGCACATTTCAGGACAGGCATCCGGCAGCTGGCGGGGCCCCAGGGCCACCTGCCCCAGGGGACTGGTCACTTCAACAGCTTACTTATTTATGCCCCATGCGCCCAGCCAACGCGCGCTTGCCATCTGCTGGTGTTTATGTCCCACGGCCAGAGCGGTTCCCTGGACTCTCCACCCAGAGCAGCCCGCCCAGCCAGGACAGTCCTTGGAACAAGCTTCGCATCTGCGCATACCCACAGGACTCTCGGGCGGCTGGAGGAGGCTCTGAAGGCTGGGGGTGCTCTGAGCCCACAGGGGTCCCTAGGAAAGAGCCAGGCCCAGCTGGTGACGGCCATGCAGTGAGAGGTTGCGTTTGTCCAGACAGAGGCTGCAGATCCGGGATAGGCAGACAGGGAGATGGGATTGCGAGAGTCTGTGCTGCTGGCTGAGCAGGAGGTCAGAGGGGACCAGGAGCCGCCTCAGCACCGGCTGCCACAGCTTCCCCGTGAAGTCGGGTTTATCAAAGTCTCATTCACGTCCAGTAAAACTCAGCCTTTGGAGCTGGCAGTTCCTTGAGTCTTGGCAAACGTGTGTGACCAAGACTTGTAACCAACATTGTCCCCGAGAGACCAGGCAGGCCCATCCCCCTCAGAGTTGTCCAGAACCCCTCGATGCCCAGCCCCTGCTCATCCCCTGGCAACCACTAACACAGTCACCCTTCTGTAGAAATCTGCTTGAAAGGCTGGCATTGTGGCATAGCGGGTTAAGCCTTAGCCACTTGTAATGGCGACATCCCCCTGTCAGAGTGGTGGTTCAAGTCCTGGGTGCTCGGCTTCCCGTCTGGCTCCCTGCTGATGGGCCTGGGAAAGCAGCAGGTGAGGGCCCAAGTGCTTGGGCCCCTGCACACACATGGGAAACCGAGATGGAGTTTGTGGATCCTGGCTTCAACCTAGCCCCATTTCAGCCATCGCAGCCGTTCGGGGAGTGAACCAGTGAATGGAAATCTCTTTATGTCTGCTTCTCTCTCTTTCTGTCACTCTGCCTTCCAAATACATGTATTTGAAAGACAAAGACAAATCTTAGATCTGTTGGTTCACTCCCCAAATGCACACACCAGCTAAGGCTGGGCCAGGCTGAAACCAGGAGCCTAGAACTCCATCCAGGTCTCCCATGTAGGTAGCCAGGACCCAAGTACTTGCCTCCTAGGGTGCACATTAGCAGGAAGCTGGGTCAGAAGTAGAGCCAGGAGTTGAACCCAGGCACTCTGCATAGATCAACTGATGCACTCATTGCAGGGTGCCGTGGAGTTGCAGAGTTGCAGGGCGGCTGATAGGCGAGGATGGCCGGGCCTGAGAGAGGGACCTGCTGGCCACCCTGACCCCTTCCGCACTGTCCTCACCACCCATCAGTTTCCCTTTACTCTTCGGGGAAGTGAGATCTGGCCCTTGCCTGGGTGGCTTGCTGGGTCCCCTGCTGTCATGGCTCCCAAGATGCATGGGTTTCGTGCAGTGGGCACAGAGCCCGAACCTGGCGATGCCCCAGAAGTGACCAGAGGCCATTTTCTTGCGAGCCGCCATGGGTGCACACTCAGGCTTGCGACTCCTTCTGCGGCACCCCAGGTGCCCTGCAGGGGGCAGCTCTGGCTGGGCAGGGAGCAGATACAAGCATGGAACAGGGTGATGAGCTCCCAGCGCCGGGAACCAGAGCTCTTATACCCCAGCTCAGGAGCTGCCTGGACCTGGGACCACGCCGCCCAGTGTGTTTGCTGGGCCCCAAGAGCACGCGCGCTACTGAGACCAGCAGGCAACAGAGAGTCCTGACCCCTGTCTTTGGGGGCAGTAATGGGTTCATTGTGGGGGAAATAAGGCGAAGTCATTGCCAAGGGTGACGGCGAGTGGCAGTGTGGAGACCCAGGCCCCCTAGAAAGTCACCGGCGGCCACACCTCTATCTTCCACATGGAAGTCAGCGAGGGCCGGGCTGGATGGGTCGCGTGGGAGGGAATCAGGCCTTCAGGGACAGAGACTACGAGGTCACGGCAAGAGGAATCATCTGATCTGCCCAGCCCCTGCCCTAGCCATCCCGTCCCCCTATGAGAGAAGCAGGATAGCGAGCTCGGGCCCCCGAAAGTGAGGGGGTGCAGCAGGACGATCGGCACCTTCAGGCCTGCGTACAACACTCTGAGTCAGAACTGGGGGGTGAGGGGGATGGAGGAGAGACCGGCAGCTTCCCCGAGGCTGCCGGCACCCCCCGGGGTCAGAGCCCCGGGCAGACTGAGTCGGCTCCCTCCGGGTCGTGGGTGGGCACGGCTGCCACGGGAGCCTGCCGAGACTGACGGGATGCCCTGTGTCTGTGTGTCTGTCCGCCCAGGTGCAAATTCTTCAGCCTGACAGAGACGCCGGAAGATTACACCATCATCGTGGATGAGGAGGGCTTCCTAGGTGAGCGTTTCTCGCACCCGGGCGCCGGGCTGTCGGCTGCTCTGCTGGACAGTCAGCTGACCGTCTCTGTCCTGGTCGCCCTGGGTTCCGGCCCCACCCGCCCCGACACGGCCTCAGCAGGGCGCGGCCAGTAGGACACAGTGTTCCCCCACCACCAGTTCACACCAGCAGGAAAGAGGAGCATGTTTTATTGAGCACCTACTTACTATGAGCTTTGAAATGCCCTCAGGCCTCATTCCTGTTTCAGAAGCCTCATTTATGAACCTTTTATTATTTACATTTGCTGTTGGTCCACTTTTTCTTTTAAGATTTATTTGTTTGAAAGGTAGAATGACACACACAGAGAAATAGACAGACAAAGAGGGAGAGATCTTTGGTTCACTCCCCAGATAGCCACAGTAGCCAGGGCTGGGCCAGGCTGGAACCAGGGACCTGGAACTCCATCCAGGTCTCGCAGGTGGGTGCAGGAGCCCAAGCACTTGGGCCATAGTCGGCTGCTTTCCCAGGCACATGAGCCAGGAGCAGAGCAGCTGGGACTTGAACCTACGTTCCCATGTGGAATGCTGGCATTGTAGGCCGTGACTTAACCCACTGCGCCACAACACCGGCCCCATTTGTCCACTTTTTAAGTTGAGTTACAGCTTCAGCGGGTCATAAAATCCACCGCTTTTAAGTATACAGTTCACCAGCTTTTGATATCGCTGAGGTATGCGGTCATCTCTACCTTGGGGTTCCAGAACATTCCATGCCCCCTGAAAGAACATCTGTACCTGCTGTGTCACTCCCCCACCCCCACCCCCGCCCCCATCCCAGACTCTTGGAAGGTTTTTTGGTTCTTTCTTTTTTTTTCTTTTCTTTTTTCACTTATCTGAGGGGCAATGAGACACAGAGAGACAGACAGAGCTCCTGTCCGCTGGTTCGCTGTCCAAACACCTGCAACAGCTGGGGGTGGGCCAGGGCTGGACTCAGGAGCCTGGAACGCAATCCAGGTCTCCTAGGTGGGACGGCAGGGACCCACATAATTGAGCCATCACCTGCTGCCTCCCACAGTCTGCCTGGGAGCCAGGCCAGGTGTTGAACCCAGGTATTTTGACATGGGACAGGGATGTCTCAACAGCTAAGCCAGATGGCCACAGGGGATGCTGGCCTAGAACCAGCTGAGTTACTTTGTCCCTGAGATGTACCCAGTGGGACATTTTTAAAAGCCACAGGCAGGACCACCCAGAGACAACTCAGTAACTGTAGCGTTTTTCCTTCCTCTTGTTTGCCTTCGGGGATTGCTCAAGATGACAGCTGGATATGGAAGTCGGCTGCTTCCTGAAACAGGCTGAGACATGGCACTGGAAGGGACCCTCGTGTGGGTCTCACCTTGGGTCTGCACAGCAGGCCGCCTCAGACCCTGCTGCCTGGGGAGAAGCCCCTGCCCGGCCTGCACACAGGGGCGGGCGCCCCACATGTCTCACCCTCCCTCCCCTCCTCCAAGGAAGTGGCTGTAGCCAGAGCACAGACAGGGCTTCCCACTCCATAGCAAAAGGAGAGAGAGAGAGCAGGTTACCCACAGGGAGGCCCTGTCCCACCATCACAGGCACCATCCCGTCATTCACGTATTCGCACATTCATTCATCCAGCTGACATTGTCCGAGCGTGGGAACTTCCGACCTTTTTCTTTCTTCTTTTTTTTTTTTCCCTGGGATTTATTTATGAAAGTGAGAGTTAGACTAGGAAGGAAGAGAGAGAGATGCTGCATCCACTGCTTCACTCCCCAGATGACCACAGCAGCCCTGGGGCTGGGCCAGGAACTCCATGTGGGTCTCACACCGGTGCAGAGGCCCAAGCACTTGGGCCATCTTCTGCCGCTTGTTCAGGCAGGGAGCTGGATCAGAAGTGGAGCAGCCAGGACACAAGCCAGTGCCTCTGGATGGCCTGACCTGTGGGTGAGGGTCTCCCTCGCAGCTCTCTCACCTTGGAGCTGCGGGCAGAGAGGGGCTGCAGAGTGAGCCCCCCCACTGGACACCTGCTGCTCCTCACCCTTACTTGGAGTGCTGGGCCTTCCCTCCAGTGGCTTAGAGGGCAGAAGTGGGCGGGGCTTGGCAGTAGTGGGCTGGCTAAACTGCCATGGAGGTTCTCATAGGCGGTCTCACTCCAGAAAGCGAGTGCTGTCCTTGACCGTGAGCCTTCCCCAGGAGGGCAGGTGGTGGACCATAAAGACCATGTACCATTGCCCAGCGTTGTGGCACAGCGGGTTAAGCTGCTGCCTGCATCCCATATGTGCGCCATACGAGTCCCAGCTGCTCTACTTGCAATCCAGCTCCATGCTCATGCGCCTGGGAGAGCAGCAGGTAATGGCTGAAGTACGTGGACCCCTGTACCCACAGGGGAGTCGTGGAGAACACTCCTGGGCTCCTGCCTTTGGCCTGGCCCAACCCCAGCCTTTGCAGCCACTTGGGGAGTGAACCAGTGGATGCAAGATTCTCTCTCTCTAATAACAAGATAATAATAAATAAATAAATAGCAACAACAGCATGGGCTAGCAGAGGTCCCTGTTGGACATGGAAGCTGTCAAATGTTTCTTGGCTCCAGAAGGCGCTGTGTGGCCACGTGTGGCAGAGGGGGCGTGCTTGGGGGTTTGGGAGCTTTTCTTTGACTGAATGAGCACTGCCCTGGTGCAATGCAATGTGTTCTTAGGGACCCACCCTAGCGACAGAAGCCTTTAGGTGGAGGCAGGAGTCTCAGGTTTGGAGTTGAGGGGAGGGGGCCCGTGTTAGTCCAGCCTCCACATCGTAGCCCCTCCCTCTGTATGTAAAGCAGGACAGCCGTGGGTCAGCATGACCTGTGCCTCACCGGGGACAGGGCATGTGACCTGTTGGAAGGTGGAGGGGAGGAGCACGCTCAGAAGTCACCTCTGGGGACCGGTGTTGAGGCACAGTGAGGCAGCTGTGACGCCGGCATTACCCATGAGTCCTGGCTTCTCCACTTCCGATTCAGCTCCCTGCTCATGTGCATGGGAAAGCAGCGGAGGATGGCCCAAGTGCTGGGGCTCCTACCACCCACATGGGAGACTCGGATGGAGTTCCAGGCTTCTGAAGCCAGCTCTCTGCCTGAGCAGGAGTGGGGGTCACTCCCAGCCCGGGTTTAGGAGGGGCAACCCGGCTGCTGAAATTAACAGCCTGGGGGCCGGCACTGCGCTTCCCCGGATGGGGCGAGGCAGGTGGGCTGTGAGCACTGGTACGCCCGACATCCCAGCTCCTGTCCTTCCCCGTCCCCGTGACCCCTGCAGGCCGGCCTCGTGCAGGGATCTCCCGAGAGGCCCCGCCGCTCGCCCGCACCTGCTGGATGGGCAGAGTTGGCCTGCAGTGCATGTCTGTGCTTTTATCTTATAAAATCGAGTTCTTTGCTTCTGTGGGGACCAGAGAGACAAAGGTAGACAGAGCGTTCCCACCCCCTGATTAAACACCACCTCCAGATGCCCACGATGGCTGGCACTGAGCCAAGCCAAGCCTGGGAGCCTGGAGCTCAGTCCAGGTCTCCTGCCTCCCAGGGTCTTCATTTGCAGGAAGCTGGAGTTGGGAGCCAGAGCCGGGCTGAGACCCAGGTGTCCAGGGTGGAACCCGGGTGTCTGAACCAATAGGCTAAATGCTCACCACACTTTTTTATTTTACTTGAAAGAAAAAATCTTCCATCTACTGGTTGTTTCCTCACGTGCTGGGCCACACCAAAGCCAGGAGCCTGCAACTCGGTCTGGGTCTCACATGTGCATGGCGGGGAACCAAATACTTGGGCCACCATCTGCTGTCGCCCAGAGTGCACGTTAGCAGGAAGCTGGGTCCGAAGCAGAGTTTCAGGACTGGAACCCAGCACTCTGATAGTACCCAGGTGTCCTGAGTGGCAGCTTAATCATTTCACCAAATGCTCACCGCCCCCCGCCCCAAACTGCACTTTGGTCTTTTATTCTGCTATTTAATTTCACCTTCATTCGTCAATACCAAATAGCATTCAAAAGCAGGCTTCTCCTCAATAGCTATATTTTGAGAGGTGTTCTTTTTTTAGATTTGTTTATTTATTTGAAATGCAGAGTTAGGAGAGAGAGATTATGTCCACTGGCTCACTATCCAAATGACCACAATAGCCAAGCCTGGGCCAGGTCGAAGCCAGGAGCCTGGAACTCTGTCTGGGTCTCCCGTGTGGGTACAGGGGTCCCAAGCACTTGGGTTATCTTCTGCTACTTTCCCAGGTGCATTAGCAGGGAGCTGGATAGGAAGTGGAGCAGCCGGGACATGAGCCAGTGCCTGTGTGGGATCCTGGCATGGCAGGCAGCAGCTTAACCTGTGCTACAATGCTGGCCCCACATTTGGTCAGTGTTCAAACTTGGAAAACAGCGAAGCTTCCTGCAGGAAATGCCTATCCAGGAGCCGGTGTTTGGTGCAGCCCTTCAGTGCCGCTTGGAACACCTGTATCCAGGTAGTGCCTGCTTCGAGTCCTGGCTCTTCCTGGCTCTTCTACTGCCGATCCAGCTTCCTGCCAGGGGGTATCCGGGGAGGCAGCAGGTGATGGCTCAAGTCCTTGGGTCCCTGCCGCACGCATGGGAGATCTGGATGGAGCTCCAGGCTCCTGGCTCTGGCCTGGTCCAGCCCTGGCCGTTGCAGCAATTCCACAATGGGAAAATGAACCAGCAGATGGGAGATTCTCTGGCTGTGATTCTCTGCCTTTCAAATAAAATGAAAACAAATAAATAATACCACTCTATTAAGAAATTAATAATAAAAAATAAAACCACCCATATACCCTCCAGTTGTACAGTTGGAATTAGAGTCAGCTGTGGTCCTTGAATGACGATGTGTCTCTTCCTCCATGAACACTTGGGCATACACGCCCACAATGCAGGTGCACACTCATGAGCACACACCCGCATGCTCATAGGCACACATACATGCACATACATGCAGACACTTGTGAACGCACACACTCGTAAGCACACCCCCGCATGCATGCACACACTCAGACACACCCACCCACATAGACGCACACACTGGTGAGCACACACCACCTGCATGCACACATTTGTTTTCCGAATCACTTGACGCTAAGACATTTGCACGGTTCACCTCTGAAGACTTGAACACGCCTCTGCTAGAAATAAGAGCTCCTCCCCGCCATGCCTGTGGCATCACACGTCCGTGCCGGCGTCTCTAACAGAAACATTCTACTCACGCTTCCTCGATTATCTAATGCGTCTCTGAAGAAAAACATTGGCTTTCTTCATAAATGAACGGTGGTTCATCTATCGGGGGAGGGAACCCTTATTTGTTAGATTTTTTTTTCATTTTTTTTAAAGATGATTTATTTATTTATTTATTTGAAAAGCAGAGTTACATAGAGAAAGAGAGAGAGAGAAATAGATCTTCCATCCACCGGTTCACACCCCAAATGGCTGCAACAACCAGAGCTAGACCAGGCTGAAGCCAGGAGCCAGGAGCTTCATCCAGGTCTCCCATGTGGACACAGGGGCCCGAGCACTTGGGCCGTCCTCTGCTGCTTTCCCAAGTGCATTAGCAGGGAGCTGGGTTGGAAGTGGAGCAGCCGGGACTTGAACCAGCACTCATAGGGGATGCCAGTACTGCAGACGGCAGCTCCGGCTGTTGTGGCCATCTGGGGAGTGAACCAGTGGATGGAAGATCTGTGTGTGTGTGTGTGTGTGTGTGTCTATCTCTCTGCCTCTTCTCTCTCTCTCTCTCTCTCTCTCTCTCTCTCTCTCTCTCTCTCTCCCCCTCCCTCTCCCTCTCCCTCTCCCTCTCCCTCTCCCTCTCCCTCTCCCTCTCCCTCTCCCTCTCCCTCTCCCCCTCCCTCTCCCTCTCCCTCTCCCTCTCCCTCTCCTCTCCCTCTCTCTCTCCTCTCTCTCTCTCTGTCTCTCCTCTCTCTGTGTAACTGTGACTTTCAAGTAAAATAAATGTTAAAAAAAAAAAAAAGAATGAGAATGAAGCTTCCGATTCCTGGTCAAGTGCCCGGATGGGACAGGACAGGTACAGAGCCGCTCTGGCGTTGCAGGGAGCTCACCCGGGCGGTGCTGGTTGGGAGCATGGCTGGGCCTTTGTGCTCCAAGGAAGAGAGGAAGCCACTGGGCGGTTTTGAGACCTGAGGAGTTTGGAAGAGGCAGGGCAAATAGTGGGTGAATTTGCAGAAGCCTACGTCGTCCTGGGGTGTGATCGTTCCTTGAGGTAAACAACCTGCTAGCACTTTCCCTCAGAGGCTGTAGGAGCTGGGGCTGCCGAGGTGGCGCAGCAGGTTAAGCCACCACTTGCGACACCAGCATCCCATCTGAGCGCCGGTTTGAGTCCCGGCTGCTCCATTTCTGGTCCAGCTTCCCTGCTCATGCACCTGAGAAAGCAGCAAAAGGTGGCCCAAGTATTTGGGTCTCTGCACGCATGTAGGAGACCCAAATGGAGTTTACTAGCTCCTGGCTGAAGCCTGGCCCAGCCCTGGCTGTTGTGACCATTTGGGAGTGAACCAGCCAATGAAACATCTCTGTCCTTAACCCCCTGTCACTCTGCCTTTCAAATAAATAAAATGAATCTTTAAAAAGGAAAAAAAAAAAAAAGGCTATAGGGGCTTGGTGCATGGTCAGAGATGCCTGGAGTCGGTGCCTGGGCTGGGGTAGCCACCTCCACGGCTCACGGTCAGGGTCTCGGCGGCTCCTTGTTCAACTCACAGGCAGACAAAAGGGGGCTCACAGGGCCACCCACACACAGTGCCCTGCAGTCCAGGAACAGCCCCCGCTTAGAGCTTTAGAATCCAAAGGGCACTTGGGCGTTCTCCTCTCCTGAGGCTGCTGCCTGGGGAGCGGACAGCCAAGGGAGCCCCAGAACGAGGGCCTTGCCAGCCCATCAAGCAGTGAGTGCCCCTCTGCTGTGCAGCCACCCCTGGGCCAGCAGGACCGAGGGGGCTCCCAAGGCTGCAGCCACCGTGGCGACCAGAGCTGGGCGGCAGGGAGCCTGGCTGGTTCCTCTGTCCACCTCCCGTCCCCCAGAGCCACCTTGCAGGCACAGCCCCTCAATGGCCCCGTCAACTCGCCAGTCTCCAGTCCCTCTCCTTTGCCCAGGTCTTCTCAAAGTGGTCTGACTTCTTGCCCATTTGCTGCTCAGGCTGGAACTTGGGCTTTGCAGTCAGACTCGGGTTTGGGTCCTGGTTGTACATGACCTTGGGCCCTGTCACCAGTCCCCTTTGCTGGCTCCAGGATGCCTGTGTACACCCAAGGGAGTGTCGTTCTGCCTCCCCCCTGGACCCTGCTCCCCGCCCCACTCTGGGCCTGGCACAGGATGTGTGTATGCAAGGGAGTCCTGTGTGCACCCTGCACTCACTGCTTGTGTCTTTGGGGACATGTGCACACGCGTGTATCATGTCCCACATGCAGGGGGGGGTTGCGGGGGGCAGGCCGTGGCTGTATCAGGTCTGGCAGCATCGTGGAGGGAAACTCCAGGGCCCCCCCAACCTGTCTTTGTCCTGGCTTTGTCGCCACCACCCAGCACTCCCGCGGGAGGGCCCCAGGAGCTCAGTTTGCAAACCACAGGGCCGGCGCACGTGGCCCGGTGTGGGTGATGGCAGCGCCTGTGAGGGTTGTGAGAAGGAAGAAGTAGAGCGCCAGCGACTGCCATCGGTTTACAGCTCAGGAAGCTGAGGTTCGGTGTAGATAAACCACTTCCCACGAGATCCACAGCCTTCCCTGCTCGGCCTCCCAGCAGGGGCGGTGGGTGGGGCTTTGCAGCAAGTCTGGTCCCGTGAGCCCAATGGCAGCACTGAGACCCAGAGTGGACTGGCCAGGGTCACACAGCCCGGGCCTCCGCTGGGGACGCCCGGGACTCCACCAGCCACAGGGCTGCCTTCTGTCTCCCACCCCGCAGAGCTGCCCTCCTCAGAGCACCTGAGCGTGGCCGATGCTACCTGGCTGGCCCTGAACGTAGTGTCCGGCGGCGGCAGCTTCTCCAGCTCCCAGCCTATCGGCGTGACCAAGATCGCCAAGTCAGGTCATCGCCCCACTGGCCGATCAGAACATCTCGGTGTTTATGCTGTCCACCTACCAGACGGACTTCATCCTGGTGAGCCCGCCACTCCCGCCGCCTCCCAGCCCCACCCGCCCCAGGCCCTGCCCCGGCATTCACACCCACCCCACCCCACCCCCGCACGCAGGTACGCGAGCGAGACCTGCCCTTCGTCACCCACACCTTGTCGTCCGAGTTCACTATCCTGAGGGTCGTCAATGGCGAGACAGTGGCGGCCGAGAACCTGGGCATCACCAACGGCTTCGTGAAGCCCAAGATGGGTGAGCTGGGGGCGGGAGGGGCTTGTGCAGGAGAGGCCCCAGGAAGCCAGCAGGTCCCGCCCCAGGCAGTCCCCTTCTCAGAGAGCGTGGGCTTCCGGCCGCTGACCTGTGCAGCCGTCTGCCGCTGTCTGCCAGGGATGGAGGTCCAAGCAGCCAGCACGGCATGTGCAAAGGCCCGGGGACCCCAGGTGGACAATCCTGAGCGCCATAGATGGTAGTGGAAGCTGAGAAGCCTACATCTGGGACAGCCGCTGAGTGAACCCAGGCCTCTTCCTAGGCTGTCCCATGCTGTCCCGGCTGTAACATCCCTTTTCTCTCCCACAGTCCAGAGGCCGGTCATCCACCCACTGTCAAGCCCAAGCAACAGGTTCTGTGTGACCAGCCTGGACCCTGACACGTTGCCCACTGTGGCCACCCTCCTCATGGACGTCATGTTCTACTCCAATGGGTAGGGGCCTCGTTGGGTGCGAGGGTTGCTGGGGGGGGGGGGGCGAGAGGAGACGTGCGTCTGTCTCAGAGCTCCGGTCTGAGAGTCTGAGGGCGGAGCCCCAGGCTCCAGGGGCTGACCCTCAGCTGAGGAGCCCACAGCCGGGCTCTCCCCGCCCCATCCCAGCTAAGAGCAGCTGGGGCTGGCAGAGTCCAGTGGGTTGGCAGCGACCCCAGCCTGTGCCCTGAGGTACGGGCAGACACAGGGATAGGGACGGCGGCTCAGCAAGGGCACACATGGCCGTGATGGAGGGCTGGCAGGGTGTGCCACACTGTGAAGTGGGGTGCCCGCCCCCATGAATGCCATGGAATCATCCCCAAACCACACGGCTGAGGACACCCAAGGCTTCAGGCTGGCTTAGCCAGGTGGCATCAGAGCCCGGGCCTGGGCCGACTTCCTGACGCACGGCGGGGCAAGGGCGCCTCGGGCCCCGCTCTCACTGCTCCCTCCCCCCCAGAGTGAAGGACCCCATGGCGGCCAGCGGGGACGACTGTGGCCACATCCGCTTCTTCTCCTTCTCCCTCATCGAGGGCTACATCTCCCTGGTGATGGACGTTCAGACACAGCAGAGGTGAGCTGGGGGCTCAGCCCAGGACAGGGGGCAGGCAGGCCCCCACTGTGGCCCCTTCCTTGCAGGTGAGCGGCCCAGCCCTGCAGCCCTGCCCCCTGGAGGAGGAGGCCGCCCGGCCAGTGGGTCAGGGTTGCCAGCAGCAGGTGCTGCCTGGAAGTCTGGGCCCCCTCCCTCTCGGGGGTGCTTTCTGGGGGGGCTTGGGGGCAGCCTGGGACACCCCTCTCTCACCCCCGCAGGTTTCCCGGCAACTTGCTGTTCACCAGCGCGTCCCGGGAGCTGTGGAAGATGGTGCGCATCGGAGGGCAGCCGCTGGGATTCGGTGAGCCCCGCAGGGAGCCCCGGACCGGGGAGGGAGGCCTAGGGGGCTCCTGGGCTCCTGGGCGGAGGGCCTGGGGAGCTGAGCCTGCAGGGGGAGGGCAGGCTGTGCGGGCCGGCCGCAGAGTCTGAGCGCGCCCCGTGCCCCGTGCCCCGTGCCCCGTGCCCTGTGCCCTAGATGAGTGCGGCATCGTGGCCCAGATCTCCGAGCCCCTGGCTGCGGCCGACATTCCTGCCTACTACATCAGTACCTTCAAGTTTGACCACGCGCTGGTGAGTGCGGGTGCGCGCCCGGTGGGGGGGGTTGGCTCGTGGGGGTGGGCGGGGCTGGGGGCGGGGCTTATGGAGGGCCCCGGGCTCACTGGAGGGGCTGGGGCAGGGCGGGGCTTATGGAGAGGGGTGGGGCTGGGTGGGCGGGGCTTATGGAGGGCCCAGGCTCACTGGAGGGGCTGGGGCAGGGCGGGGCTCATGGAGAGGGGTGGGGCTGGGTGGGCGGGGCTTATGGAGGGCCCAGGCTCACTGGAGGGGCTGGGGCGGGGCGGGGCTCATGGAGAGGGGTGGGGCTGGGTGGGCGGGGCTTATGGAGGGCCCAGGCTCACTGGAGGGGCTGGGGCAGGGCCGGGCTCACTGGAGAGGGCAGGGAGGGGCCTCGGGGGTCGGGGCTCAGGCGTGGGCTTGTGCCTCCTGCCCCACGCAGGTTCCAGAAGAGAACATCAGTGGCGTCATCAGTGCCCTGCAGGTCAGTCAGGCCGCCAAGCACTAGGAGGGCCTTTCCCTGCGCCGGGCCCGGCCCCCACCCCAAGATTGTTCTCGCAGTATTTCTCCACGGACTGGAAAAACGGCCTCCGAGACCCCGAAGCAGAGGCCTCTGGGACACCCCCTCCCTCCCCACACTGGGGCCCACGCCAGGGCCTCTCCCAGGCCCCCCTTCCTGCCTTCCCCGAGCCCCCTGGCCCCCCCAGCCACGACCCGCCCCTGCCCACAGCCCCACCCGCAGAAGACAAGCTGGGGGGGCAAGGAGCTGGGATCGCCTCCGCCTTCTCACGCGGCCCGGAAAGAAGGAAGCTGATGGAGACGCTGCGGCGCCCTGGGGGGCTGAGTGTGGGAGCCCCCGGAGTCCCCCTGAGGCCCCCCTCAGCAGCCTTGGGATCCGTCAGCTCAGGGCCGGCTCCCTGGGACGCGTGCGCACGTACGGCGGGGCTTGAGCTAGGGAGGCGGCCAGCAAGACTGTGCAGAGGGACCCTGTGTGGCCCCTCGCCCAGCGGGGAGGAAGGAACCCCAGGAGACCCACCAGCCTGGAGCACCAGCTCCTGTGTCCTCTGCTCCCCCCAGCCCCTCCTCGGGCAGGCACAGCCTCAGTTTCCCCCCAGCAGGGGCGTCCCCAGCACCCCAGACCTAGACCAGCACGGGGCTCCCGCCGTGGTCCTGCCCCACTCCCAGGGGACATGGAAGGTCTCTGCGCCCCTGCCTGCCTGCCCCACCGCCCAGGGCTGTGGGCACTCAGGACTGGCTTGACCTGGGAGGCAGCTTAACTGAGCCTTAATAGATGAAACCGTGCTTTGTTTTAGTTCTTATTTAATGTATTTGCGCCCGGGCTGCTGTTGAAATCGAGAGATGAGGCCAAGCTGAGGTCTTCAGCCAGGGCCCCCCCCCCCCCCCCGGAGCTCCGTGTTGCCCTCCTTTGTGCGTGGCAGCTGGGAGCAGGGATCTGGTGCAGATCCCACAATGCCCTGGAGGCAAGGGGGTGGCTCTCACGGGACCTCCCGAGCCAGCCTGGTTGTATCCGGGCATCCCGGGGGCCAGCCCAGAGGTGGGCAGCAGGTGGCAGCCCGCGAGGGGCGGGGGCTCTTGTCCAGGAGGACCGGGAGCTGCTGTGTGCGCTGGGCCCGGGGAGCCTGCGAGGATCTTGCTGTGTGGGGTGAGCTGGGTTGTGCTCTTTCCGGAAGGTCAGAGGGGAGGGAGTGTTGGCCTGTCCTCGCGAGGGGCTCCCGTGGGCCCCGCTGTCCCCTCTTCCCAGCTGGGTGGGACAGCAGGAGGGGCTGTCCATTAGGTTCCCTGGGACTGCACAGGACCCACCCCACTCGTTAGGAACCCCCCCTTTTACTCTGAGTTAATTCATTTTGCACAAAAGCTCCCAAAACAAACCAAATCTTGTCCGTTGTCTGCCGGTCCCCAGAGGTGGCCGAGTGAGCCCTGGCAGTGGCGGGAGCCCCCTCTCTTGACCTCGGAAGGCCTGGGGTGCCCGTAGTGTGGCTCTCCCAGCCCCATCCAGCCCCGGGCAGCCCCGGGCCCCGCCCCCTGCCCTCCCCCCACCCCGTCACGTGTCCCTAGACCTCCTAGGACCTGTCCCTTGTACGCGCCTATGAATACCTGTGTTTTATGTTGATAGAGCTCTATACTGTAAATAGCATATATACTTGAGCAATATATACGTTAATATATACTGTGTGCGCGCGTGGGGGTGGGCCGGGGCCCCCGCCCTGTGGTCTCCGCCGTGCACACAGGCACGATTTTGAGCTGCCGTCTATTTTTCATTCAAGTATATAGGCAATACGATGACTAGAGAACCCCAGAGGGTCCCTGCGACCTGACCGGAGAGAAAACAAAACCAGCAAACCCAGGAGCCAGCATCCGGGACCCGCCGTGCTCTGGGTCGTGGGTCTCGCACCCCCACTCCCCAGCCAAGGCCTTTGGTCGGAGGCGGAGTTGGTCCCGAGAGAGGAGCGGTTGGAAGTTTTCCCTTGCACACAGAGCAGCCCCCACCCCCGCCCTCGGTCAGGGACCCCGCTTCACCTGCTGACCCCGATGCTGGCCGCTCACTCGGTGTGCGTCATTTTGGGGGTTTTTTTCTTTTCTTTTTTTTTTTAAACCTGCAAGCTTAGAAACCTCAGGTTCTCCTCCCAGGTCTCCTGGGGACTGGCCGAGAAAGGCACGCGTGACCTTGATGTTGTGTCTGGGAGGGGGCGTGGCATGAGAGCACCATGCTCCGGCCTCCTTGGGGGGAGCCGCCGCCCCTGGGGACCCCACTTCTTGGCCACAGTGCACCCCAAGCTCTTTCCGTGCCCTCCTCCTGGTTGTGTGAAAGCTGGCTTCGTCCTCTTCTCCATGTCCTTTGTGTAGCGTGGTCCCGCTGTGGGCTCTGCGGCACTTAGGAGGAAGTCGGGGCAGGCGGTGGTCAGTGGCTGTCCCAGTGGCCGGCTGCCCTTGTCCTATTCCCGTACCACCTGCCATCTCCTAGCTTGTTACGTGAGAGGGTCTCTCCAGCTCCCCCTCGGAGGACGCCTGGCCCTGCCCCAGCCTCAGAGGGGGCCTGTAAGACTCCTGGCTCTGGCTGGTGAGGAATTGGGGAGGGGCAGGAAATGGGACCCCCCCCCCCATTGAGTCTGCAGGGGCAGGGCAGGCTGAGCCGGGAGCTGCTCCCTGAGCTGCAGGGGTCTAAGCTCCACCCTCACCCTCACCCGCTCCATCCCTGCACACTGCAGAAAGGGCATCGACCCCCCTCTCCCAGTGATCAAGACCCCCTCCCGCTCAGCCCTCTGCACAGGGCTCCCCTAGCTCCCAGGCCTGACCCGGCAAAGGTTCTGGCATGGACCCTTCCTCCAGGGAGACCTCCAGAGCCTCCGAAAGGCACAGCCCATGCTGCTGCCCTCAGTTCAGGGCACAGGGCAGCGCTGGGGAGGCCGGGGGCCCCGGGGCTGGAGGAGCCTCTGCTCCCCAACATTCATGGGGGGCCCTGGAGCCTCCCAAACCAGCAGCATTTGTCACCTCCCTGGCCTGCGGCAGCCTGGCCCCACACAGTGACCAGCTGGGGAGACTTGGACTGGTGGGGCTTGTTCCCCGTCCCAGCGAGGGTCCCCTCTGCCTGATGCATGCTCTTGGAAATGAACCTCCCCAGCACACCCCCCACCCCCAGAGGAGCCCCGGGCCACCTTGCTGAGCCTCCAGATGTGGCCACGGGGGCCAGGCAGGGGGTACAGCAGAGCATGTACTAGGGTCTGGGGTGGCTTGGGGAGCAGAGCCTGGTGAGGGGGGCTTTCCAAAGCGGGGGTCCGCCCACAGCTGGCCGGGAGGGAGGTGGGCGGCTGGGGCGAGGGGAGCCCAGCCTTTTTCCTGTGTCTCGAAGCCCACCCCAGCCTTTTTTCTTTCGTTGTCAAACCAGGACAAGCGGGACTCTCCCTCCAGGTCCCCCTGGGGAGGTGGCCGCCTTGGTGGGGAGGTGGGGCCGAGGGCAGCCCTCACCGGGGGCTGGGGCACCCACGGGGGTCTGTGGCGCTTGGTGTAAGTGGACAGGCGAATGCAGGAGCCGTGGGTGCAGGTGGTCCTTGTCCCCCGCGAGGGGCAGGACACTGTTCTGTGCATGTTTAGAAAAACGCGGGTGTGTGTGAGCATGTGTGTGTGTGTGTGTGTGAGAGAGAGCGAGCGAGAGAGCACATGTGTGCTTGCGTGAACTTGCACCTGAGCTAAGGGCCAGGCTCGCTCAGTACAGTGGTGGTTGAGGGGGTGGGGTGGGGGCGCAGGCTGGAGTGTGGTGGGTGGAGACCCTAGAGGTGGAAGCAGAGCTGTGCCCAGCAGGGCTGTGGCTCCCCAGTGCCAGGCCTGCCTGCCCACGTGCCCTGTTCCAGAGCCCGGGTCCTGAAGAGCAAGGTCGTGGGGCGGGGTTGCCACCTCGCCAGCAGGGCCGGGCCAGCAAAGGTGCAGACCCCAGTAGGGGTAGAATGAAAAGGCCAAGTTCCCCTCTGCTGCCTCGGTTTACCCATATTCAGAAACGGGCCACAGAGAGTTGAGCAGGGTTGGCTCCAAAAAACAAAACCAAACCATCCCGAGCCCTCCTCTTGTTGCTGTATGCCAAAATCATTTCCGTTACCCCGAGGTGGAGGAGCAGGGGGTGGTCAGTGCACTTGGGGGGTGGGGAGGCCTGTGTCTTGCCCCGGAAGTGGAAGTCGTCTTGGGGGGGGGAGGCGGGGCACCTCCTGGCCACGCCCTTCCGGCCTTTGCCCCACCTGCCGTGCCCAGGTCACCAGCAACAGAGGATGCGCCCACGGTGGGGGGGCGGGTTGGGGGAGAACTGGCGGGCCCGCCCACAGACCCTCTAGACTCATGTACTGTATGATGGAGAGGAAAAAAATACCTAATGTCCCCCCCCCCCAAAAAAAAGACAGTATATTTTGTACTTTGTAAAGTGTTCATTAAAATGAAGACGAAAAAGGCATGGTGTTGCCCAGTGGCTGTCTGAATCTGCGTGCATGTGTCCGGACCCACCCCCCGCCATCTCGCTCCCTGACTCAGTACTGGGGGGACACAGCCCGGGGGTGTGGTCGTGGACACTCACCCTGCACCCCAGGAACAGCTCCCGGGACAGGCAGCGCCGTGTGGGGCACCCGAGGAGGCAGGGAGCCAGGCTCTGGGGGAGCCGACTGGGGTCTGCAAGAACCTGACCCCGCCTCTAAAAGCCTCTATCCCATGGACCTGTAGGAGACACGCTCAGACCCTAGCACTGGGCTGAGGGCTGGGCAGCGTGTGCCATGGTCACGCACACAGCTGGCAGCCTGGCCTGGCTGTTGGCTGCAGGGCTCTGTTCCTCCCTCTGTGGGTCTCCTCCCAGTATGGCGCCTCTGGAGCCGGGGATTCAAGGGCCCAAGGCTGCACCAGCTGTGTCCTGAGCCTCAGGTGTCTCCATGGCGTCCACCCTGCTCTGTGGCCCGGCCCTGGTTTGGCATGGGGAGGAAGGTTCATGAAGGAGGTGGGAAGCAGCAGGGGACCATCTCTGGGGACTGGCTGCTCCTCCCAGACCTCTGGAGTTGGGCAAGGGCCTGAGGCTGGAGCCAGGCCCTGCTGTGGGCAGAAGCCCAGAGCAGACCTGCCCAATGGACAGGTGCACCTTGTGTTACCGAGGCCAGGGACTTCATAAAGAGAAGAGGCTCACGGGGGTTCTAATCTTGCAGGCGGGAGGCCATGGGCAAGCAGCCGTATCTTCTGGACTCTGGTGAGGGTCTTCTGGCTGCTCCCCAGCCTGGTGGGAGGCACTGTGGTGGGGGCACATGTGAGTAGGAGCTGATCACAAGGAGAGATTCAGGGGCCAGCCTTGCTCTGTCACATTCCATGTCACAGGAAGCCAGCGTGAACCCTACCAAGGGCACCCCCAGAGACCTGACCACCTCCCACTGGGCCCCACTTATTCCAGACCTCACTAGGCTTCCAGCACCGGAGTCCCGGGACGCACACTCCAGCACCCTACATCCCTTCCCTAAGTGCTCCGGTTTGGGGTTCACCTGGGGAGGTGGCGCACTGCGGCTGCCCAGGCAAGAAGATGGGTCTGAGACCAGGAGGGTGTGGAGCTGGGGTAGCCTTCACCCTGTACCCCCTCTGATACTCTCCATGGAGGGCAGGTGAGAGCAAGACCTGAACCTGCACATGGCCCCGCCCCCACACCTCACCCGGGACCCTCGGGAAAGGGAGCCCTGGAGATGCAGAGCGCTCAAAGTAGAGGCTGAGCAGACCCTGGCCAGCCCCAGCCCCAGGCCGGAGTGCCCTGGCCACTTTGAGGGCTTTTCTTGGGCCTGTGACAAGGCTGTCCCCTTCAGTCCCCCTGGAGCCAGACATCCACGGGGACCCTCGAATGATTGCATCCGGACTCTCAAAACGGCTCCAAAGCCACCAGTGGCCACCCCCCAGTTTTCCACTGTGCATATCCAGGTGTGCTGGGAGCTAGGGAGCCAGGGGACTGCCACAGCCCCTGCACCCAGATGTGGAGATCTAGGAAGGAGCCATTAGGGTGCCGACCACTAGGGGGTGCTGTGCTCTGGGACTAGACAGTGCCCGACTGGCTGGGTGGTAGACTTCAAGAAGCAGACTCCAGGCAGGCATGGTGGCAGCAGCAGGTAAAGCCGCTACCTGTGATACCGGCATCCCATTCGGAGCTCTTGTTCAAGTCCCAGCTGCTCCACTTCCGATCCAGCTCCCTGCTAATGCACCTGGGAAGGCAGTGGAAGATGGCCCAGGTGCTTGGGTCCCTGCACCCACGTGGGAGACCCGGGTGAAGCTCCTTGCTCCTGGCTTCGGCATGGCCCGGGCCTAGCTGCTGTGGCCATGGGGGAGTGAATCAGCAGACGGAAGACCTCTCTGTCCTCTCCTCTGTAACTCTTTCAAAACAAACCAATTTACGACAGAGAGCGAGAGAGTGAGCCACCTGCACGCAGGGCGCCAGTCACATGCTCAGTACAGCGAGGGGAGGCTGCAGCCTGCTCAGGCTCATTTTTCCCGGGGGATCACTTGTGGCCACCCAGCTAACCAATCACTCGTGGCACCACAACCAATGTGTGCCCTCGTCCAAATGCAGCAGGGGCTGGGGAATGCAAATGGGGAGGGGGTCTGGTCCATGGCAGGGGCACCCCAGGGACCCACAGAAAGCCCCACCAAGGAAGCCCTGGTTGGGAAAAGGGCATCTCTTAATATACACGGGCCGCTACATCCAAGGTCAAGTTTGTTCCTGGAGCTGCATCTCAGCTGCCATTCTGGGGGGAAGGTTTATAAACCCACCCCCTAGCTTTGACAGACATCTTGTGCCACCCACAGCAAACGCCAGCTGGCGTGAACCAGACCTTGGCCCCCTAGGCACTGAGCGCCTATCAGTACACCCTCTTCACCTGACACTGCGATGGTGACCTCAGATGTGGCCCAAATGCGAAAGAAAAGGACACATATAATCTTCAAGTTTATAGGAAAAAAAATTTTTAAATACCTACGAATGATCTTCACGGCTCAGTGAGGGTCCCTTGAGACTGCACTAAAGGGCCATTCCCAGCGTGTTGGGGTGCAGCAGGTTAGGCCTCCACGTGGGACAGCTGCGTTCCATACTGGAGTGCTGGCTGGAGTGCTGGCTGCTTGGCTTTGCATCCAGCTCCCTGCTAACGTACCCTAGGAGGAAGCAGAAGATGGCCCAAGTCCTCGGGCCCCTGCCACCTACACGGGGAACCTGGACAGGAGTTCCAGCCTCCTGGCTTCCCCCTGGCGTGGTGCTGGCTGTGAGCGTTCGGGGAGTGGAAAATCTCTCGTTTGCTCTGAAGTCTCCCCCTGGACACCCAACTGGTCCTTACAGCCTCAGGGCACAGCAATGAACTGACGCACACCGCGGGAGGCAGCAGGTGCCAGCTCAAGTCCTTGGGTCCCTGCCACCCACATGGGAGGCCTGGATGGAGTTCCGGGCTCCAGGCTTTCGTCTGGCCCAGTCCTGGCTGTGGAGGGCACTGGCATTTGGGGAGTGAACCAGCAGGTGGAAGTTCTCGGTCTCTGCCTGAGAACAGAGAAGGGGACGCGGTCCGACAGGGAATCAGGTGGCTCTGCCGAGGGGCTCCGGACAAGACCAACGCAGCCTTCCCAGCACCCCGCTGCCCCCAGCCCGCCTCTCCAGCTTTCCCCACAGCCCACGTGGCCCCGGTGTTTGCTGAGTGACCGAGAGGCGTGCAGTGCTGGCCGGGGTGCGGATGCCGGCTGTCTCCCCACCGCACCCGGGGAGCAGGGTCCGACCAGAGCAACTCCGTCTGCTAGAGTGGTTTTCGCTGGCTTTTTGCGTCTTTATCAAAAGCCTTATTTTTAAAGGTTAATCTCCAAATTATCAAGGGGGAAAAAAAAAGACCTTCGGTTCTTAAAAACAAGAAAGGCAGAAAATACTTTATTCCAAAAGACATGTTTAAAGGCTGTTTGCAAAGGAAAGAGACGAGCTGGGCCTACATCAGACACTGCGATTTCTGGTTCTTCTGCCTCCCAGGCAGGCGCTCCGGCCAGGCCTCTGCAGGTGTGCCCAGGGCTCCGCCCACGACACTGGGCCCACTCGTTCCCTGCTGGGGGCTTCTCCACGCTGCCAAGTCAGACAGGTGGGAGCGGCCGCTCGGGGCTCGGCGCGCACTACCGGCCCCACACGGAACCCCCGTCCAAGCCAGTGTCCCAGCAGCAAGCCTGTGGTGTGGCCGCCGAGCAGGGGCGGCTGAGTAGGAGGAAAGCCGCAGCCCCGAGCCAGCCTGGCCCGAGGCAGCCGCAGGGAGCGGAAGGCCCCGAGCACCACCTGTCAGGGTCACCTCTGGCCTCCCTAAGACCGCCTGTCTCGGGCTGCTCGTGACGCCGGAAGCCAGTCCCAGGTCCCCCAGAGAGCAGAGCCGTGCGGAGTCTCCTCACCCTTGCTGGGGCACGGCCTGCCCCGATCCTCCGTGGCTGGCATGGAAGACCCGCGGCTGCTGACCCGGAGCTCAGGACCAGGCAGGAGACTCAGACGAACTGACTTGGCCAGAGTCACCGTGTGATCCACACCGCAGGCCACGGCCACGGGCTCCCCAGGCATCGTCACCTGCAACACAAGGCCCCATGCGTGTGAGGGGGAACGGCCGGGACACAGGCAGGCTGCGTGTTGGCCCTGCCCGCTCTGCCTCTTTGCAGGCTGACCCCCGGATGTGGGGACGCTCGCACCTTGCCTAGCTGGTAAGGGATCACGCCAGCTCGCTGCAACCAACGCAGCCCGTGCTGCGGAGCAGGGCTCGGAGCAGTGGGCGTGTCTGGAACACGGCCCGGCACAGACTCGGCTCCCTGCCTGCAACACGGAGCCTGGCCTTTCCCAGGGTGGCCGCCATGGCTCCCTGGAGTGGCTCACGAAGCCTTTCTGCTTCCCGCCTTGTGGGCGTGGTTTGGGACCTGGGCCCGCAGTGGCTTCAGTCACTTTCCCTGGTGACCCCAGGCTGACCCTGGAGGCTGTGTCCAAGGTCACGACCGGCCTCGGGGAGGACAGCAGGGCCTGGCCGCAAAGCTGATGATGACAGCATGTCCCCGAGGGAGACCCAACCCTCAGGGCAGCTTCGCGGCACTGTGGTGCAGCGGGTTAAGTCACCGCCTGTGACGCCGGCATCCCATATGGGTTCCAGTCTGAGTCCTGGCTGCTCCGCTTTGGATCCAGCTCCCTGCTATGTGCCTAGGAAAGCCGTGGATAATGGCCATCTTCTTCATCTTTTTTTTTTTTTTTAAAGATTTGTTTATGGGGGCCAGTTCAAGTCCCGGCTGCTCTACTTCCGATCCAGCTCTCTGCTGTGGGCTGGGAAAGCAGTGGAAGATGAACCAAGTCCTTGGGCCCCTGCACCTGCGTGGGAGACCCAGAAGAAGCTTCTGGCTCTGGATCAGTTCAGCTCCGGTTGTTGCAGCCATTTGGGGAGCGAACCAGCAAATGGAAGG